TTTTTTCAAACGAGCAGTTAATCTGATCTTTGTCCTGTGTCAGCTCCGTCCTGCTTCATGACTGCAGAACCCAGCAGAGAGGAGGTTGCTGTCGCACACTGGCGACCTCTGATGCACACAGAGGGAGACCACATGACTCTCATTAATATTTATAATGCCTTCATGGAGCGTACGTACCGTTCAGTTTTCATTCACACTTTCTTTCCAATAATGGTGGAATATTTACAATCACATTGAGTTCAGGGTAAGATAATGAGAAGACTTTATGCTGATCCTGTGGAGGAACTTCTGCTGATACTGCTGCTGAACAAGAGTCTGTCAATATGTATAAAAGGAGTAAAAAATACAGAACAATTAAACAATACAGGTGTGTGTCAGACAGAGGAAGTTTGGGCTTTGGTAAATTCTCACCGGACAGCTAATATCAGATCCTCTTCTTGTAATATTAGTATTGACAAAACAGAAAGAGTTACAGTTTTTTGATCAGACTGCAGTAATCACAAGTAGTAACGACTCAATGTCTCATTAACATGTAATGATACTTGAATGAATTATTGAACGATCTCTGTGTGATCATCACAGATAATCAGGATGAGGCATGGTGCACGACAAACTTCCTCAGTCACGCCGCCTTGCGATTAGCTGTGGTGATCCGGGCGGAGCTGCTGGAGGTGATGCAGCGGATAGAGCTTCCAGTTTCTCCCCCTGCTTTTGGATGCCAAGACAATTGCACAAATATCAAGCGTGCACTCATCTCAGGCTTCTTCCTCAAAGTAAGCACCCTGGTTTTATAAAGCTGTGTGATTGAATTTTAATCTGTTGCCTTTTCTGTTGATGCCTTTTGTGTGGTTGTCTTAAAAAAAAAAAACATGATTCTTGTTTTTGTTTACCATACTTTAGTCTCATGTAGTGTAGAGCAGCAGAGCTCAGCTTATTGCGTTGAACATTAGTTTGATCATTTTAAGGATAATTCTGTCATAATGCGAATACAGTATGATATGATACAGGACACAACAGAGGTGAGGACATTCCTCTGATATATAATTGTCACATGTTTTAAATTGTATCACCTCTTAATGGTTGCATTATTTCTAACTTACCAAGTAAAATGTTTGCCCTTTTGAACAATAAAAAAACAAATAGTGTAGAAAGACTATATTGAAAATACAGGCTCCAAAGTACAAACTCAATGCAACAAAAGTGAGTATATCTGTGATCACTAAAACACAAGTTAGAAAACCTGTCATCACTGAAAGAAGTTAGTAAACCTGTGATTTGAAAAATCTGTCAAAACTGCAGGGGTATCTTTTAGTTTTTGGGGTATACTAAAGAGAAGGTCAAAGCACCACAACCCCTCCGGCAATGAGCTGCTGTAGAAATTGCCTCTGAAGATAATAGAACATCAGAAATGCGTGCAACACTGATATGCATACTGAGGAGGAGGGAGTGTGTCATCAAAACGTAAGTGAAAATTCAAATCTCTGTAATGAATAACAGTAATGAAGGCCTGACTTTTGTTGCTTTGAGTTCCTATTGTGTGTATTTATATTGTAAATTTAATGAGTTAGTTTTCAATTTTAAATAAAAGCAAATGCNTGACGGGAACTGGGAATCTTCCAGCTACAAGACGACGGTGCTAACTACCGAGTCACTGTGTAGCCCACAGGTCTACATATCAATGTAAAATAAGAAATGTAGGTTAGAATGCAAGTTAGCAGGCTATGGGCCCAACTTACTGATTACTGTTTTAGTCATTGTTCCCCCTTGGTAGATCTTTTTGTTGTTTTTGGGCAGGCCTAAATGACAATAGGCTGCTATGTTCACACTAGGGAAGGAACGTTGTCATTATTACGAATCCTGGGGAGATGTGGTCTTAAACTGAGCGTTAAATTAACATCTTTAAACAGTTAATGAAAAAACTTTACCTTCTGAACTTGTTCTGAGCATCTCTTTATAAATTTCTTCACTAGAAAAATGCTCACCTGGACCTCTTAAACTCATTGATCTCTGTCTGTAGTTTGTAAACAAAATAAAAGCCTAAAGGCCTGAGCCGCCTCTAGAAACAGTGTTGGACCAAAAACTGATTTTGGTGTGGTAACGGCTTAAGGTTGTTTGAGAGAGTGAAGATGGCCTGCTGCTGTGTCACATGTGTGAATGTGCACAGTGTGGGACTGATTTACTGAAAAAAGTAAAACTAAACAACAATGAAAATCTAAAACCTATTAATTACAAGAGGTCTCACTGTTTCTCAGAGGAAACATAATCATTTTCCTTTAACACAGAGTGAATACTCAGTTTCACCACCTTTGTCTTGTAGAGAAGTGAATTGAGGACACCTCAACCTGAGAGGCCTCTGGTGCATTGCAGGTGTCTGATGTCCTGGTTCACACACACACACACACACACACACACACACACACACACATTCACGCATGCACTTTTTCACTCAAAGCAAACTATATAGAACATGTAGACAAAATACTCTTGTCATGTGTTTTCAATCCATGTACAAAGGTATCTGTACATATTTACCTTCAGTATATCAAAGTCTAATTCCCATGTAACTCCCTTTATGTCAACATCACCAAACCTCCACACTCACCGTCACTTCTGGTTTCATTTTAAGAATAGCATGTGTGTCTCCATTAGCTGAGGCTACGTCTGTCAGTCCAAGTCTTTTCTTCTGATGCTGAGCTGTACACGCTAATCCTCTGTAAAGCACACACACAAACACACTCCCATGCACAGCGGTGACAAATGAAAACACACAACACCTCTCAGGGTTTACAAGTGTCAGCTGCAGTAAACTTTCACAGTGAATGTTGAGAGTTTGAGCATAGATGTTTGAAAGAGTGGATTAAAACTAAGGTTGCGTGTTTTGTCTTGTTTGTCTTGTGTAGGAAATAGAAGAGTGTGTGGCCCTGCTGGAGAAGGAGTGTGTAGCTCTGAGTCCTCAGCTTGGACCTCTCAGAATGCTCCCTCTCCATGCTGGACTGGGTGGGCAGACTCAGAGGGTCTATGAATCTGATCCCGAAGCTTCTGCGCTGAGCGAAAACACCAGCTCTGGTGGCATGGAGGGCTCAGTGCTGGGAGTTGGAGGTCTGAGCATCAAGAGGAAAGTCATCGTCACCAATACGCTCGCCGAAGCATCCTTCTCCCTGCCAGCCATTCGCTATGTCATAGACACAGGCCTTCAACTCAAAACTGTAAGTAACTTTGTAGTACACACAAAATTATCATCTATAATTGAACCATGGCATAACACAAATCATCTTGTTTATGTCTGTCTCTTTAGTTTTTATGGTTGTTATTACTGCTATTTCTAAGTCTAAGGTGAGCTGTGCCAACTAAATAAAAGAAATGACATTTCTATTATACTTACTTGTTGGAACAAGCCATCATTATTAGCCATTTTTTCCAATTACAAAAAGTTGTTTGTTCAGGCTATCATTTTAAAAAACTGATTTTCCTATTTCAAACCTTTTTACTTTATATTTCGTCACAGGTTTACAATCCACAAATAAGAGCGAACTCACAAGTTCTGAGGTCAATCAGCAAACACCAGGCCGACATGAGAACTCAGCGGGTAAACAGCCACCTTCCAGGTACGTCAAAGGTCATAAGCTACTGTTCAAGTACCAACTGATATACTACAATACAGACATTTCCTGGACTTTAAATCTCACTTAAAGCCCCTGCAACTTCTAGTGGTGGGAGTACAAAAGACCCTGTGTCAGACAGCATTGAATGTCACCAATAACTAATTGCCTACTTTAATAATTAATATTTGCGAAACAAAATACCAACTGGTGATAAAAGATAGACTAAAAATTAAATTGTGCAACTACAATATTTTACTGTATTATGGCTGTTTACCGCTTGTTCTTTCGTTGTTGTATTGTAGGGCTGTGTCTCCGTCTGTACCCCCAGTCACTGTATGAAGGAATGATGGAGGAGGCTCATTGTCCAGGAGTTGTAGAGGAGAACCTCAGCCACTTGGTGCTGTTGCTCAAGAGGCTTGATATTGCTGACATGGGACAATGCAAGTTTCTAGACAGACCAGGTAACTTTTATACACGACTTTAAAGGATAACAGGAGTTACCTTTTAATGATGAATGACAGTCCATCACAATGTAAAATGGATGAAACAAATTTAAACCACAACACATCATATTCAGATCCCACACCTGCAGAAAACACTGCACCGCGGCAGGTAAAGGCAGAGGGGCAACAAGACCAAAACCATGATTGTATTCTAGTAACAAGCATTGAGTGTTATCCTTCTGTGACATAGAGCTCCATCATTGTCCAGAAGCTAGGGTGACTACTTTTTTTAATAGTTTAATAATCTGTCAAGGAATTTCACAATTTCTCAGTGGCTTTTATTTAGCTAGGTTGTTGATTGGCTTGTTAAATTTAGTTTCAGGTTGTTTTAGACACGTGCTAACTAGCAACAAAAACAGTAAAGGTGAATACTTCTTTTAAAATGTCTCTTGTAATGAATATTTCTTTAATGAAAATTTAAACCAAGGATAAGTAAAGTAGCAGAAAACGCATATGAGTAGACTGTTGGAGGGCACCAGATACTTTGTTGTGAAGCTTAACAACAGACTGATCTAGTAACAAGTCTGTTGACATGATGTATTCAATTTGTGTATTTATACACTCACCTTGTTGCGTACTTTTGTAAAACATGTGTGATTTATGTGAATTACTGCTGCAACACTGCAATTTTTGAGACCTAGTTTCATCATATTATGAGTTAAGACAGAGGTTGTTATTTTTCAGTCATCAGTGTTTCTTCAGGTCTCCTGTGCTGAGGTTAGCGGTGAGCTTGGTCCACTCTCAGTGTCTGTTTCCAGACTGTGAGAGGGTGGTCCATGTTTTTATATGATCCAAGCAGAAGTGAGTGTTGGTCCCTAATAAATGTAATTTTCTCCTGTTAAAGTAAGAATTGCAGGTTCATTAGGAACCAGTGGGTTCACTGCTGAGAGTCACAGACAGAGAAGTAAAGTTGGAAAGTACTGAGAAAGGCTAAAACATTGTTTGTTTTGGTCTTTTCTTGGCA